TCTATTTCCAATTTTGCTATTTTCCAAGTTGCCTTATTTGCTATTTTTCAATTATCCAGGTATCCAATAGTCCAATAGTCCAATAGTCCAATTTTCCAATTATCCAATTATCCAATTTTCAATTTTCCAATTTGCGAATTTGCCTATTTTCCAACTGTCCTTTTTTCCTGTCTCCTATTTCCAATTTTCCAATTTTCCAATTTTCATGTTTTCAGAGTATCTTTTTTTTCCTGTTTCCTATTTTCCAAGTTTCCTTTTGTTCAATTTCCAATTTTCGAAGTTGCTTTATTTTCCAATTTTCCTATTTTCCAAGTGTTCACGACCCATGAAATTCATGACCCCGGCCACAGTGATGTTGGCCTAGTTTCCTGCAGGATCCACTATTTTTGCAAACTTACGAAATAGTTCAAATCCCCTTTCCACTTGTTGTTGCTTCAACTTGGCCATTTCTTCTGTTTTTTCCTATTTCCAATTTTCCAATTTTCCAAGTTTCCATTTTTTCGTATTTCCAATTTTCCAATTTTCCAATTTTCCTTTTGTTCTATTTCCAATTTTCCAATTTTCCAAGTTTCCTTATTTCCCAATTTCCAAGTTTGCACTTTTGCTATTTTGCTATTTTTTACCTCGACATTGCTGCATGCCATGGACCAAGTCTGCAGTGAGTGAATTGGGTGACTTGGCTTCTGTTTCAGTCTCCCCTCCTTCAGTAATTGAAAGCGTTGGGTTTGGTGTGAGGTTATGGTCCATGGTCTTTGATATTTAATGTAGGCTGGTGTATGACTTCATTGGAAAAAAGGGGGACTAAATGCGATGTGAGTGAAATCAGCGGGGAAGATAATGGCTGCAAGCAGGAGTTAATGTGATGGAAGCTTTCATTTCAAACAGCTGGGTTGATTAATATAGGCAGGTTTTAATGACCTGGAGCAACAGAGAGAGTTAGTGGCGGGAGGGATTAGGGGGAGTCATTGGCGGGAGGGCTTGGCGGGAGTGTTAGGCAAGATAGTATTGGGCGGGAGTTATTACCCAGTTGACTGTATGCCTTTTTGTCATATATTTCTATTTTGGATGTTCCGAACTTGGTCATTTTCCCATTATGTAATTCAAAAAAGGGATTTGCCTATTTGCCTAATTGATCAACTCATTCAAATTGACCAATATGGTTATTGTCTTATTTCTCATTTCAGCAATCTCAATTCGTTT